AATATTGAATGATCTTCAATTGAAATTTACAAAGAGCGATCCATTTGAATTGGAAGATGAAATTAAATGCGTATTACAATTCGAATAAGGCTACATCACAATTTTATAATTGGAATGATTTACATATATAGATGCTCAAATATTAGGTCAATTTCAAGCTTGTTTTTTTTAAAGCAAATTAGTGCATAACATATAGATATGTGTTTTCACAGCATGCTTTCGATAAACATCGACTTCACATCATTGCGGTAGTTCTGGCTATTTCACACAATTAACAAGAAACTTATACCTTATTCTTTTGCATAAACATGCAATGAAAGTAAAAATTACATAAACGGATGATCACACTTGACAATATTTAATAAAAATGTAATTTTTCCAAAATATCGTAAAGAAAAATCGATACATTTTCACACTCGTTTTGCAATATCGTACAACTAAGTTAAAACTACTTAGTAGAAGTCTGAAATGCGACTATTACCATGTTCTGACCGACAACGAAAACACCTTGAAAACGAGTTTTGGGATTGTGGGCTGAAGGCTGTTCACACCTACTGTTGGTGTTTTCGTTGACATTTCTTTCATCCTTTGTTTACAGTTTTGCTACACAAAAACAAAACCAAAATACTTTTCATTTAATTTCTTTTCATAGGTGAAGTCTGATCTTTTTTCCGTTTTTTATTATACTTGTATTTAATTGTTGGATCTGCTTATTTTACATCTATTAAGCCTAACAACAAGTTTAAAAATCTTACGTCTAATTTACAATAATATAGCTCAAAGCCTGGGGTTGAGCCCTGCTGGTTTAACGTCGCTCAACAAAAGGCTGGTAGATCTCTTCGCAGGCGTGTTATATTTGTTGAGTTGCACATGCCACTTGCCAGTGGATTTGGGTGGTCACGCAGCTTTATCTAACAACCATTTCTAAGGGATTTTTTGAAAAGAACTTGCAATGAGTTTAAAAGGGTAAAATAAAAGATTATAGCAAAAAGCCTTTAAAAGCAGCTAAAGCCATTATCTAAAGGAAAGATAAGCTCCTTTCACAAAAAGTTTCTTCGAAAGCGGGCTAGATTTCGAATTTAAAACCAAGATAGAATACATTGGAAAACGAAGGCTCCGTTATGCTGGAGAATTGCCAAGTTATCGAGCCGAAGACCACCATCTTAACCCATTCTTTACAACGGCACACCAAAAAAATATTGGTATGTGCTTTTCACCAGACCCACTTGCTGCCATGTATTTCGGCCCACTGAATCCAAATCTGGGTTCCGTTTGACTCGTACACCCTCAAAATTTCGACTAATTTGCCCAAAATTAAAATATTTTGCCATTTTTTCAAAATTTTTGCAATTAACTCGAAATTTAGGAGGTGTACGAGTCAAAAGTACCTCAGGTTCGGATTCAGTGTGTCGGAATACATGTCGATAGGTGGGTCTGATTAAAAGTTATCACCAATTTTTTGTGTGGGGCAGTGTTATCGAAAGTATGGTAAGAGATTCATTTTCAAATTATTTAAGAATTTTTAACAGATTCAAATCTCGACAATTACGATTACCAGTAGCTCACTAAACAAAATATATCTTAATTTTTACTATGGGGTATATGTAAATTAAACCTTTAAAGCCGTTTACCCTTTCGCTACAAAGCCCATTTTTCAATGTAATTGAAAAAATTTTTTTACCCCAATACGGTGATACTTTTTGGTATTTGCGATATTTACTCAGTACTTGTCAAAAAGTATCGAGTTCTCGATACGGCTCAGTACTCATGAAAAGTATCGATATTCTGTACTCGGTACTCGTATCGCTCCATCACTGAGTGATAGCAAAAGTTGCAAAGAATTTTATTTCATGAAAAAGTTGTTTATAAATAGGGAAATGAGATCAGTGTAATCAAATGTTGTTAAATTGGGTGAGTGCGAGGTGGTGTAAGGGAAAAATAATGTGAGAAGCGTGATGCAAAGAAAATTAGTGAAATCTACTATAGCACCCACGCCAGTGCGCAAGTGCTTGCATATTAGTGTGTAGGATAAAAATCAAATGTGGGAGTCTCATAATTTCGCAATGTTTATTGCCCTCGTAACTCTTTTGTACATAAAAACTGGTGAGTGGAACTAATAGTTTGTATTTAATCATAAAACATAACTTTCATTTCAACCACAAAGGGAAAATTGGGAAATCTCTAGCTATTTGTACAACGATTATGGGTGGGGGGCGGAGCGGGAGGGGGCGTGGCTCCCCAAACCCCCCCTAAACGAAGGAGGATGAACGTCGCTTTATGAAAAGTCACCCCTCCCGCTACCGACCCAGTGATGTAACCTTGGGGAAAGGATAAGGTAACTAGAATTCCCTTTCTGTGTGGTAAACCTGGGGCTGCCGCCCCAGTGATGTCTATTTTGGTTACTGGGTGTTTTATAAAAATATCTTGTATATAAAAATGTATATACAAATTTATAATAAAAATTTGCAACAAATACCATATTTCCAACCGACATTATGGGAAATGTTTAGCTATTTGTACAACGATTTAGGGGTGGGGCGGAGGGGGAGGTGGTGTGGGCCCCACAAATCCCCCCTAAACGAAAGAGGACTGACGCCGCTTTATGAAAAGTCACACCTCCCCCCCAACCCCTCCCACAGACCTCTGGGGAGCTGTTTGAAAATAGGGGAATTTTAGCGTTTTTGTAAGGAAAAAACAAAGTTAAACTTGCGTCCGAAGAAGGGGGGCTGAACACCTTTTGCAGAGAACACCTTTCTGCGTAGGCGGCCTGCGGCCGCAATTAGGGATTATAACCCTTACTACGTAGAATTCTCCTTTCTGTGTGACATAACTGGGGCTACTGCCCCAGAGATGTAACCTTGGGAAAGGATGAGGTAACTAGAATTCCCTTTCCGTGTGGTAAACCTGGGGCTGCCGCCCCAGTGATGTCTATTTTGGTGTTTTATAAAAATATATCGTATATAAAAATGTATATACAAATTTATAACAAAAATTTGCAACAAATACCATATTTCCAACCGACATTATTTTTAAATTAGTGCACAGATTTAGTAAATTAAATTTTTGTAATAAAGCGTGAACTGTTGTCTACAAGTGTGTGTAAAAGTTTTTTGATTCGATTCACGCGTTTGGGCACAGCAACCCAAAATAGTTGTACAAATTCATAAACAGTACCCGACATTATTGTTAAATTAGTGCACAGAGTTAGTAAATTAAATTTTTGTAATAAAGCGTGAACTGTTGTCTACAAGTGTGTGTAAAAGTTTTTTGATTCGATTCACGCGTTTGGGCACAGCAACCCAAAATCGTTGTACAAATTCATAAAGAGTACCCGGAAAATTTATTTCATACTATGCAATTAGTGCGTTCCAGAACGTCTACGATTGGCTGGTTTTTCAGGATTTAGTCCAAAGTCGTTCCCATACACCACGTTTATTAAAGGCGAAAACAGCTGTTCCTGTAAAACTTGCAAATCGTGCAAATCGTGAAGTACGGGACCAGGCTAAATATATTCGGAGAACTAAAATCGGTTGGCAAAAATAATGGAACCTTTGCATTTGGTTTTTCTATCGAAGGATTATACGAAATTCTTTCTTATGCATATGTAACTGTCATCGATGTTATTAAAGCTAACCGTAGAATTTGGTGTTGGACTGGAAAGTTACAAGTAATGTCTGATAATGATATTAATTAAGCCCCAGATGGTATCTATTCGAAAACGCCATGTTTCAGCAAATTTTTCAAGAGCGCGCTATTTCAGAATTCGTTTGAAGAACGCCCTACCTCATTAATTGACATTAATTGCATGACTTAAATATTTTCTATTCATGCAAAAATCACACATCTAAGTAGGTAGTTTTTAGTATTTTCTTTAAAGTAAAATATATCTAACAGGCCCTTGATTTAAAGATAAATAGGTCCTCGTTTTTCTACTTTATATAAATTTCTTTCTACATTTAATATTTTTTATCAACTTCCCAGCAGGACCGACAACGCATTCTCCAATACACTTACAAAATTTCCAATAAAAACCAACACATTTCTTTGCGTTAATTGTATTGGAGACTGCGTTACTGGCCGTCTCCATAGGATAAAATTTATTGCTGTCCAGCTGTTGTTGTTGTTGTAGCGGCTACAACAACCCCGCCCAGATCGGTTGGTATCTCAGTCGTTGTCGTCAAGTTCCACTAACGGTAACCCTAGGAAGCGTGCAGCTTCTGCGGGGTTTGCCCATAAGGACAAGGTCGTTAGGGATGTCGGGTTTGCCGGGCATGCGAAGAGATGTTTCGAGTCATGTGGGGTCTCTCCGCATGCCGGACATTCATTAGGCACATCCTCATTCAGCCTACTCAGGTAGGAGTTTAACCTGCTGCAGTAGCCGGAGCGAAGTTGTGCAAGTGTGGTGCGCGTCTCCCGAGGCAGATGAAGCTCCGTCTCGTCAATGTCCGGGGGTGGTGTGCCTAGAACGGCATTCACAGGTCTAGAGTCTACATAACTCGAGACTGAGTCCCTGTGAATGCCGTTCAAGGCCTGTCTGTACGCTGTCGGGTCCAGAGGTTGCTTAATGAACCTCTGGACTTCGTCCGTTAGTTCATATAGATGCCTCCTGACGTGCCTAGGCGAGGGCTCCTCTGCAAGCAGCTGTCTGCACGGGTGGCCACTTCTGTGGGACCCGATCAGGAACTGCTTGCAGAGCATTATATTGTGCTCCTTTACCGGAAG